GCAGGCAAAGTGTTTTCTTTAGCTGGGACTTGTAGTTACTCCCAGCTGAGCACCTACACATTACCCAGCAATGCTAAGGTGCTCTCCTACATTCACCTCCTCTGATGATAAGGTGGGCAGAACTTTACACTATTACTCCTTATAAAGTGGCTAAAGAAGAACTTTACAAAGCAGGCAGATTTCAGTGCTGGAAAATGTGCATAACTTTAAAAAGAATCACTTAATAAGAAGTCTAAATATTCAGACTTAAAGTACAACTGTACCTTTGGTCCTAGACTTGTGTTCATCCTTGTCCAGCTCCTCTGGGTGCCACTCAGCCTTGCACATGAAACTGTCCTTGCCTTATGCATGGCTGTCACACAATGGTTCTGCAGAATACAGCTCTCCCTGTATCAATGTCCCAAGCACCATGTGCAAGACAAAGAGCCACTAGCAAGGACTTTTTGAGGAGCGAGACTGTGTGGTGCCTGACAGGCCCATACAGTGAATGTCCATGGATGGAGGATGAAAGTGAGTATCAGACCAGGTGGACTGCACTCACTGGGGCTGCATTCAGTAGGCCTCTTGTACACTGCAGCTTGAAAAAGCTCAGTACAGTATCTTTTTATACTGAGGTAAAATGCAGCCCATTAATTACAATGTGCCTTTGCACACAAGTGTGTAAATAAACGCTGCGTATTCCTCAGTTTAAAAAAAAAAAGGAAAATCTGCATATTTGGTCATTAATTTACGCCACATGCTCGCAAGTGCACTCAAATATGCATAAACATGAATTATCCTTAATATATTGTACGCGCCCATGTGCACAAAACAAGCGCCTGAAATTATGTTAAACGCAGATGCCTAAACATCTGTATTGTAGGCCTTAGAGGACATCTTGTATGAAAGGTACAGCTGTCCTTTAAAGCTGAATATAAGACTAATAAACGCACAGATAAGCAGATCATTGAATGTCCACTTATATGGAAGACCCCTACTACCTAAATAAAATCTATAAATAATAAACAGTAAAAAAAAAAAAATACTGACAACTTTTGGCTGCTTTCTAAAAAAAGCTGGTGATGTCTCTGCTGCCTTCTGGAAAAATATTCAAAATCACACAAGAAAGTGCTTCAGCAGAGTACAGAAGTGGATTCTCACATAATGTTGGGTAACCAGCTTTCCCAGGATGCAGCAGAGAAGTGAACTATGTCACTGGTGCCTTCAAAAAATGGCCCCAACTCAGGTGAGTCTTTTTTTATTTATTATTACATTATTTACTGTCTTAGCTTTTATTTTGTGTTATTTGATTGATGGGAACTTCAGGTAGGCACGCTTGATGGCTCTATGTTAAAATAAATGTGTAACTAACCAATCCACCACTGCAATAAATAGTCTTTTTATTATCTGCCATTTTGGCTTTAAATGATTATTGTGCAGGCTTCCATATGATATATTTATAATATTCCGAAAGCTGACCCAAAACTTCAGCTAAAGAGAGATAGAGCAGTCCCTGCCTTAACTTCCTGACCTCCTACTGGTAACTGGTCACGCTGTTTCCCAGCATGTGAGAATGCATAACAGTACTAAACAACAAAGCCCTGTTGTTAATATGATGAAAATAACTACAAGGCTCTGTTTGCTATTAAGTTACACTTTTTTTTTTTTTCAAAATTCTTTTACTACAATAAAGTTGCACTTAAACTGGCCACACACTTTGCGATGTTTGACTTGTTCCTGATGAACTGCCAAAAATGTGATTATTGGGTGGCCCTGTTGCCACTCCCCTGACATCCTTCAGTTGGCAAAAAATTATCAACCAAACAGCAACTGCATCCAAACAGATGCAGCCACAATATGGGTATTTTGACGGCCAGCTATCAAGATACACTAGCTGAAGTGGGAGATTTGCCCATCCACACTGTATAACATAGAATGAGGGATCTGTTACATTTTTTCTTCAGCCTGCAGTCTGAACAACAAAAAAAAAAAATATGTTATGGCCAGCTTTAGGCTACTTTCACACTTCTTGGTATCAAAAACGCATATGCGTTTTTAAAATAGATAGATAAGTGCAGCGCTAAACACAATAGATATGAAATATCTGTCCATAAATACATAAATCAATCAGAAAGTGACAGTCTGTGCAGATCTAAAATGCAGTATGACAGCAAAATCCGGTATTGGTGCTCCAAATAGTGTGGTTAAATTATGGGCATTCTTTATGGTCTCCCTCGCGGAGCTATTCATTTGTAGAGCCCACCTGATCCAGCCCTCTGCAGTATCCAGAGAAGGGAGTTCCTGACAACCGGCATCTGCACCCATCCATCCCTTAAAGGGACCTCTGACCAGATGGATCATTTACCCCCTGTGAAGCTCCTGCCAGCACCACCTTTACCTAGAGGGAGGATTATCCTTGACCAGGATCATAACCAACTCCTAAAGAGGACCTCTACCGATTTATTTAATGTGTATATACATTACGCATCTGGTGAGTGCGTAATTTAACCACACTATTTGGAGCACCAATACTGGATTTTGCTGTCATTCTGCATTTTAGATCTGCACAGACTGTCACTTTCTGATTGACTGATTTATGTATTTATGGACAGACATTTCATATCTATTATGTTTAGCGCTGCACTTATCTATTTTAAGTTTTTAATGGTTACCTTCAGTACCTTTAGCTGCTCACCAGGGAGTGCTCGCTTTTACACTTTATGCATATGCGTTTTTGCCACAATTTTCCCCCATCTTTGGCCTGTACAAAGCTGTTCCCACAGGCGCAATGCTTTTTTTTTGCCACAGTTTCCATTCATTTCAGTGGGGAGATGCACCACAAATGCAGCAAGCAGGATTTTTAAAAATGGAACTGAAACACAAATGACCAGTTTGAAGAGTTACATAGTATGTAAAGGGATGCAATTTTCTTGTTTTTTGTTTTTTTTTTTTAAACTGAACAAAAACTGGTAAGTGTGAAAGCAGTCTAAAGCTAACCATACAATACAAAATTTTCTTATTCAATTTCATTTCGATTTACCATCAACTATGTAGGGCAAGGGCCTGGCTGATTGCATACAAATTGAAAGTGTTTATGTTTGACCTCATATATGGTTTTGGTAAATCTAAAGGACAGTTGTACAAGAAAATTGTATAATGTATGGCCAGCCTTACTTAGTTGTTTAAAGGCAGTGTTAGTATTAGATAAAGAAGTTTACAGGGCAGAAAAAATCAGATTTTGGGTGATTTCTTACCTCTGACTCGCAGAGACAATGCAGATAAAAGAACAAATATAAAGCTTCTTACAGTAGACCTGCACAATTATAATTTCAGATTGCATATTCAAATGAATCCATTTATGATGTGAGATCTAAAGATACGGGCGCTACAAGTAATGATTTGGTTAATGGAGCTCTGCCATGAAGTAGTATACCTGTGTGAGTACTCTCAGAAGTACATTGCCATTCCTGCTGCCCACAGTTAAGCCAGTTGGTATCAGCTTCTCTACCCCCAGAACTACTGTGCCATCCAAGAGTTGGACAATGACAGTTTTGGCTCTATTTTTATCATTTATATTGAACTCCACCCACAATTTGTTTTGCAATAGGTGTAGTTTGCCTTTACATACCATTTCAGGCAATAGAATTGTATGTAAGCAGCTTGATTACAGGGCCTAAGCGGTGAACTAGTATTGTTTTTTTTGCTTGTTATTGGAAGCCATACCACCTTATCTATACTGTCTCTCGAGCTGAGCCCAGTCAAGATGGCTGTCTTGGATGCTGTAGCAATAAACAGCATGGGGATAGAAGCAGCATGTAACAGTATTGACAATCCTCTAGCTGTTGTGTACTTTTTGCGTGCTAAGAGGATAGGTTTGTGACAGCGATGTTGCTCTGACACTGGGCAGTGGTGCAACAGTGGTTAACTTGCAGGCTCTTGGCAGTTGCTAGGCCTCATTCACTGAACGGTGAGAAATCTAGGTCAGCACATCCCCCTCTGAGTCTTTCCTGGTTTTTTTTTTTGCTGGAATGTAGTACCTATTAACTTGTTCCCTGCCATCTAGGCCTTAAAGGGCAAGAGGATATATATTATATAAAAAGCAAGTCCACCTGAGAGCAATATTTCAGCTTTTCAAGCAGGTGCTTGCAGCATTTGGGTTATGGTCACATACTCTTTTTTACGTGGTCTTTATAATAATGAGACTCTCTTTCTCGGTTTTTTAGTATGTTAAGTGCTGCATAAAATTATTGGCATAATAAATAACTGTGGTGGGAGGAAACAGCAAGCCATCCCTAGAGAAACAAAAGTTATTGGATCGCCACTCCAATCTACAGGCTTTAATGAGGTCAAGTGTAGGAACCTACTGCAAAACAAACAGAAAAATATTCTTCTGAAGCTATTTGGTCAATAACTGCACCATGCTGCTGTTTTACACCACAGTGTCTGCCGCTTTAGGGGCACAATGTGCTTTACCAACAGTTCCTAAAAATCCCAACGTAATGTTTAAAAACAAAAAAAACCCCAAAAAAACTACTGTACAAAATGATTATTGCCATTTAGTGAATAAGGCCCATTGTTACTTGGTCCCACGATATTAAGCCTGTTATAACCAACAGTAATAAGCACCATCTCCACCCTTGTAACCTGTTATAACAAGCCTCCCAGAGCACTGTTCTTTAAGAACTTCCTAGCAAGAATTCCTCTTGTTCTCATTAACTTCATCCTTCTGAAAACTGAGGCTCGAAGATTTTTTTTTTCTTTTAAAAATGCCTAAAAAAGTGTCTTTTAGAAAAAAAACAAACAGCTGGTCCGTTTTAATATTTAACTAATTGGCCGAAGACACTTGGATATGTCACACATATAAGACGACTCTCCCAAAGGACCTCTAGGTCTCAGCTATTCAAAATACACAGATTTCTAATGTTAATAAATGTGTCCCCTGGCACAGCGTGGAGATGAATCATCGGATAGTTGTTTCTTCGGTAACAGGTGCTATGCTATCTGAACATAACAGCTGACACTTAGCTCGGCCTCCTCTGGTTATCATGATTTTCTCCATCTTCCTGGTTGGAGGGGAGATCCACCCTTTGTTCGTCCATCCTCTTGGCCTGGACTCTCTGGATTAGGCTGAAAAAGTCTTCATCGGGCATGGTTGGTCCTCGGGGCATGGTATCTGGAGGTGCACATCTTTGGTCATCTATTCGCGAAGACTGAAAGGAAGGAAGTGGAAGGTGTAAACGGAAAACTTGAGATGGGGATTGTGTGCAATATACAATGGATGCAGTTTTTTTTTATTAATTATTAAGAAAGAAAGATTGGCTGTATTACGACACATTTTTCTCCAATTTACAGTAATCCAAAATGCAAAGGTGGGGGGCAGTTGAAGTTAAACAAAATAGTGTGAGGTGGCTGTGACAGTACATCCTTTGCTCTACACCTACACAAAAGAAGGGCAACGGGCAGGTCCCATTTGTGGGTGTGTTGGGTCACCAGGACAAAAACAGAAAGTGGTCAACTGCTTGTGTGCTGATCATGCAAACTCAGGTGCTAATATCCCTGACTGACCTGGTGAAATGTTTCACATCAAAGAAGAGCTTAAAGGAAATTATATTGCTAACTTGTTTTTAAATGTGGACACTGTGGTGCTGTCATCCTGATTCTTCCTTCGCTACTTAGTGAGTAACTGATCTGGAAAAAGCATGTGCATATCAAGCATTATAACCTGACATGCAGATCTTGGTTTTATGTTGGTCATCCACCAAGTAGTGAAGGAAGGATAAAGATAGCAGCAAATCACCTTCAAGATAAAAATAAAACAAGCAAACAACCATTTCATTTTTAGTCGGTTGTGGTCTTTGTCTTTTTTTTAAAATATAATATTCTGCGTATAGGAATGCTGTCACTGCATTTATGCATAATTAACAGTTACAGACGCAATCCCTTTTGGGTCTCTTGACAGATTTTTACTAAATGAAACCACCAAAAGTCACACTGTAAGAGAAAAGTTCAGAGAATTATGGATTTAAAGTATAGTTTTTAAGGAAACTTGTATTTGAGTTTCGTTTTATTGTGCATTGAAGCCTGAAGTGAGGAAGTCACTCCCAGTGATAGTAATGAGGACCTGTCTAATAACACTGTATATAGTGCTTGCACATGCATACTGACAGGCAAATGATAACCTCGGAGGAATAATGATAGGGTTTGATACAAAAGACCCCCTCTAACCTCCTTCTCACTGGTGCAGTGTAATCATGAGATCCCTGAATAATTAACAATGGGAAATCTGTTTCTGTTTTACTGAGGCCTGGAAAGTGTGCAGCAGCCATATTGTTGAGAATGAAACTGCAGCCTACTCTTCCTTAAAGTGTTAATAAACCCAGGATCCTGCATTCACTATATCTGGTCTCCCACAATACACAGAACATGGAAATGCAATTAATTTTACTAAATATAATTTGCTAAATACCCTTTCTCATCAGCAGTACATAGCAGTTTTGTGACTTCTGTCCAGCTGAACACTGGTTAAAGCTTGTAGGAGGAGTTTTCAATTTTCCTCGGACTGTCCTATGAGGCTGCATGGCCCTTGACCTTCTGTCTGGACAGTACTAATTGTCCCTGTGCTGATCACATGCACCCTCTCTAGCAATATATACCAAACTGAGCATGTGCAGAGTGCCTCCTAGGACTATCATCAGTAGATGGATTGGGGAATGTGAAAGAAGAAGGGGAGGATCAGACAATTAACCCCTTAGGTTCCACAGTGAGTATAACAAGCATGCTTTACTGCATTTACAGGCTGATTTTACTGTTGGGGTTTATTAACACTTTAAGAGTAAGCAGCATCTCTGTGGCAAAAAGTTTACCATGCCTCGTGTTGCTGAGGTGCATCTGACTATCCAAAGTTTATGTTAACACTTTTTTTTTTTTTTTTTTTTTTTAAGGTTTTGGATGGAGTGAAAATTGGGCAGAGCCATGGCTGGATTTATACTGCTGTCTGAGGCTCCTTTACCCTAGGTTCACACCTAAGCATTTTCCGCAGCGTTTTGCAGAACCGCAGTACAGTTCATTTAACACAGTTGCCAATGGCACATGTTCACATCTCTGTGTTTTCACTCAGTGCATTTTTTGGAAAGGGTCAGGGACTTTTTTTTAATGCAAAAAGTTGCGTTTTTGGTTCCATAGACTTCAATGGAAACGTTGCAGAAAAGCATGTAGTGCGTTTTGCCATGTTTTTGATGCCTTTTGCGTTTTAAATCTGCCTAGCAACAAGAAAAAAAAAAAAAAAAAATGCATCAAAAAAACGCAGGTGCAAACACGCAATGCAAAAACGGCTCAAATGCAACCTGCATAGGTGTGAAGCTAGTCGTAGAGAGATTTCCCCTCACTTACTTACCTTTCTAGCGACAACTGGGCAGGAAGTAATGGAAATCTGCAACTCAGTCCTCAACAAAAGCTGAAGTAATTTCTTAATCATACAGTACAGGCCGCATCTCCTTAACCACTTCCCTCCTGGCCACTGCACTTAAACGGCCAGGTGGGAGCTTTGCCCTTCTGAGGGGACGTTCCTGCACGTCCCTCAGAACGTGGCTGCGCACTTTTGGTTTGTCTGTGTCCCTTGGACACAGTGCAACGATGCTTGGCAGAAGGGCTCTGTGATTGGCTCTTCTGATCATGATGACTGTGTCCAATCACAGCCATCATGTAATGTAAACGCTGCTGCCTTTCAGTTGATCAGCTCTCACACAGAACTCGCCAGTGAGAAGAAGCAGAGCTGATGTGTGAGCGAGTCAGTTTTCAATCACTACACTACACAGTGTACACTACACTGATCACCCAGATAGTGTCCCCCACACATCTGTCACAATGTACCAATGGTCATCTACATCTGTACCATTGATCCACATCTGCACCAGTGTTGCACTGGTCATCCACATCTTTCACAGCGTACCAGTGTCAAATCCACATCTGTACCAGTGATCAACATATGTCACAGCGTACCAGTGTCAAATCCACATCTGTACCAGTGATCAACATCATCACACAGTCCCAGTGTCAAATCCACATCTGTACCAGTGATCAACATCATCACACAGTCCCAGTGTCAAATCCACATCTGTACCAGTGATCAACATCTATCACACAGTCCCAGTGTCAAATCCACATCTATCACAAACCCAGTGTCAAATCCACATCTGTACCAGTGATTAACATCTGTCACAGTGATACCAGTGTCAAATCCACATCTGTCAGTGTACCAATGAACATCAACATTAGCAATATCAGCAGTGCACCATCAACACGTTTAAAAAAAATTATACCGCAGCGAGAAGGCTTTCCAGATACTGAGCATGATGGAGTAGTGGGGAACTCTCTGTCAGAGGAGGAGAGAGTCCAAAGAGGTTCAGGAGATCTGAGGAGGAGTAGGCATCCACCAGTAGTGGAGTACTAGCAGTGCAGCACTCCCAGAATATAGGCAGGCATCCACCAGTAGCGCTGCAAATACTGGTGGAATGGCAAGTACAAGCAGGGCTGCATTCCCAGATGATAGGCCAAGCACTAGTAGGGGGGTGTCCCGGCCACAACAACGAGGTAGGGCCCATACTAGCCTCCCAGATGTTCTTTTATATCGCACACGGCTGCCCACTAATTCGGCAGAACATACAATTCCCCCTTTTACAGGCAACGGCCAGGCCCTCAGATACAAGATACATTGTGGAGCAGTGTAATCTGTATGCCAGCCAATATATTGCCAGCAGTTCTAATTCCTAATATGCACACCCATTTGTGTGGAAACCATAGAGGAATTTCAAATGTCTCTTGAGCTTACTTTGAACATGGGATATATATGTGATCTTGTATTGCCGAGTAGGGGGTGCGCACCCTACTCGCGCCGCTATTCATGGCCGCGACTCTCAATCACCGAGTCCGGGCCGGTGATTACCCGCCGGCGCCCGGTGATTACTGAGGATCTTTGACGGGGAGGAGGACTGCTTTGTTTACTAACTGTCCTCCTCCCTGTCGGCTTAGGCACACTGCTGTAATGCTCAAAGTAGTGTGCTTACAGTGAAGCAGCAACACACCGCCCCCCAGTAAAACACTCCCAGCACACAGTTAACCCTTTGATCACCCCTCATTTTAACCCCTTCCTGCCCAGTGCCATTAGTACAGTGTCAGTGCTTTTTTTTTTTTTTTTTTTTAGCACTGATCACTGTATTGGTGTCACTGGGGATGACAGTGACACAGTCAGTTCCCCCCAGTGTCAGAATGCCCTCCGCAGTCCCGCTATAAGTTGCTGATTGCTGCCATTACTAGTAGAAAAAAAAAATGAAAAATTCCAGTATATATACCGCCATTTGTAACCGTTATAACTTTCACGTAAACCAATTAGATTACACGTACTAGAAATTTGATTTTTCTTTTTTTAAAATTTTTACTGAACATGTTTAATAGCAAAAAGCCAAAAATATAGTTTTTTTTTTCTCAAAACGGTCGGTCTATTTTTTTTTTTAATAGTGCAAAAAATAAAAACCGCACAGGCGAGCAAATACCATTGAAAGAAAGCTCAATTTGTGGGATAAAAAGGACGTAAATTTCATTTGGGTGCAGCGTTGCATGACCGCACAAAGGCTTGGCATTAACTGCTTTACAACCGCGCTATAGCAAAAATGGCTACAGCACAGTTGTCCAGTTCTGGGAGGGCATCATATGATGTCCTCCCAGAACACACCCTCCCGTGCGCCCCCCAGTGGTGTGCTCCCGACACTGTCCGTGATCGCTGTGTCCAGTGGACACAGCTCATCAAATGATGAGGTAAAAGGCCAATCACAGCGGCCTTTTACCATGTGGTCAGCTGTGTCCAATGGCACAGCAGATCACAAAGTAAATACAGGTGAAACTCGAAAAATTAGAATATGGTGCAAAAGTTCTTTTATTTCAGTAATGCAACTTAAAAGGTGAAACTAATATATGAGATAGACTCATTACATGCAAAGCAAGATAGTTCAAGCCGTGATTTTTCATACTTGTGATGATTATGGCTTACAGCTCATGAAAACCCCAAATCCACAATCTCAGAAAATAGAATATTACATGCAATCAATAAAACAAGGATTGTACATAGAACAATATCGGACCTCTGAGAAGTATAAGCATGCATATGTACCCAGTACTTGGTTTGGGCCCCTTTTGCAGCAATTACTACCTCAATGCGGCGTGGCATGGAAGCTATCAGCCTGTGGCACTGCTGAGGTGTTATGGAAGACCAGGATGCTTCAATAGCGGCCTGCAGCTCTTCTGCATTGTTCGGTCTCATGTCTCTCATCTTTCTCTTGGCAATGCCCCATAGATTCTCTTTGGGGTTCAGGTCAGGCGAGTTTGCTGGCCAATCAAGCACAGTAATCCCACGGTCATTGAACCAGGTTTTGGTGCTTTTGGCAGTGTGGGCAGGTGCCAGGTCCTGCTGGAAAATGAAGTCAGCATCCCCATAAAGCTTATCTGCAGAAGGAAGCATGAAGTGCTCCAAAATCTCCTGGTAGACGGCTGCGTTGACCCTGGACTTAATGAAACACAGTGGACCAACACCAGCAGATGACATGGCTCCCCAAATCAACACAGACTGTGGAAACTTCACACTGGACTTCAAGCATCTTGCAGTGTGTGCCTCTCCATTCTTCCTCCATACTCTGCAAAAGTGCTCTCATCAGAAAAGAGGACTTTGGACCACTGAGCAACAGACCAGGTCTGTTTTTCTTTGGCCCAGGTAAGACGCTTCTGACATTGTTTGTTGTTCAGGAGCGGCTTGACAAGAGGAATACGACATTTGAAGCCCATGTCCAGTATCCGTCTGTGTGTGGTGGCTCTTGATGCACTGACTCCAGCCTCAGTCCACTCCTTGTGAAAGTCCCCAACACTTTTGAATAACCTTTTCCTGACAATCCTCTCCTTTCTGAGATTGTGGATTTGGGTTTTTCATGAGCTGTAAGCCAAAATCATCACAATTATGACAAATCACTGCTTGAACTATCTTGCTTTGCATGTAATGCATCTATCTCCTATATTAGTTTCACCTTTTAAGTTGCATTACTGAAATAAATGAACTTTTGCACGATATTCTAATTTTTTGAGTTTCACCTGTATATGCCTTCTTTCCACTGCTTATATTTTGTATGGGGAGTTCCCTTATCTTACCTCATTTGACCATGCTGACTCAGGGATTGAACCTGGGTTCTTTGTGTTATTAGGAACCAATACTACACTTGGAGATAGTTCTACGCTAAGGGTCCTTCACTGGTACCTAGTGACTTAGTGAGATAAATGCCTGTCCTGACAGCCACTGCATGCAAGGAACCCTCTCTCTCTTGGGCCCACAATGGGATCAGGTGCGGTTTAGAGTCGCCTTCTCACTTAACGTGGCTCTGATCTCTCCCTACCAGAACATGTTTCTTCGATCCTGAGGTCGGGGACAATTCTCCAAGGGGAGCTCCTTTGTCCTCCTGACCATGATTCAGGCTGTGAAATTTTTCCACTCTGCACTGACTCCCAGTATATTTCTTTGGATGATCAATGTAGGGATTTTGTTTTATCCTCTCTGGTTGACTAGGTGGACCAGTTTCCAAACTTATGGCATGTGGTTTGGAATTTTCACTCCCCTGTCAGACTTTCCTTGCTAATTATGTGATTATTTTTCTTGCTATATTCTGGTGCCAGATATTGCTACTCCATACCAGGTCTTGTTTTCACATTCTTGTTACAAGGCAAGGGTTGAAGCCTCATCCAGTTCCAGCTCAGATCCTTCAGGTGGCTCTTAAGCGGTCAACTGTCCCCAGTTTCTTTGTTCATGTTTGGTCTGCCAGCAGTTATTTCCTAGTCTGCCTGTAGGTGACCGTATAACCCGACTCAAATGTGAAATTCGTCCTTTTACCCATTACTGAACTCCAAGAAATAGATTTTATAGAGAGCACAAAAATCCTATTTTTGTGAGCTCCTCCGATGCAGCCCAGAGTTGAGTGCGCTGTATAAGCCTGTATTAGAACTTATGTATTTGAACTTATAAGGGCATTTCTGCAGTCCCTGAATAGTCTTTGAGGCGTTGTGCACTGTGTAGAGGGTGAAAGGGAAGAGGGACACATGCTCCTCTATACCCAGAAGTATCGCTCATTTCACATGGCTCTGGCTGGTGGAGGGGTTTCACGGGGAAAATAAGTAGTAATAGTGAAGTAACTGGGTTAGAAAAAAGAACCTGTTACTTTGTCCTGAAATGGTACTGCTTTTTACATTTAACTGAAACCATGACAAAAATTACATTTGTTGTACAGGTGATCCACTTACCTGACATTTCATCAGCATATTGAAGAACTCATCACCTGGCTCTTGCTGGTCACCTTCCACCTTTATATGACCCATGTTATTGTGCGTTAGTCGTAGACCAGGCAAATTTCCTACGCTCGCTCGCTGGTCATCCAGCCGCCTGCTCTGGGAGCTGGCAATCAGGTCAAAGAATTCTTCTGTCTGAGGAGATGCCATGAGCGAAGAGGCAGCTGGAAGAACAAAAATGTGTAAGTCCGTGTTTCCCAACTTTTTTTCAGTCAAGGCACCCTTTAAAATGCTGCACAATTTCGAGGCACCCTGTTATAAAATGTAAAAACTAAACTGATAATTTTACAGAATGCAGTAACATCAATACATGTAGGACACCCAATGTAATTTATTGTTCCAAAGCAAATACACCTTTACATACTGATACTGACTAGTAATTGCAATGTTTCTCTCCCTCACTCAGCTAGTGTGACCCCAGTGCTGATGGAGAGGGGCAGAGGAGGTGCAAACAAGTCTGCTGTCAGGCACCCAACATCCTCCTTATCAATGGAAGGTGGTAATGGTGCACAGTGAAAACATGTGCCTTTCTGTAACTAAAAGGCAGGCCTGATCCACCTGCTGGCTTGTATGCAATGTTTTTGGCATTTTTTTTAGGCATTTTACCAAGGCACCCCTGAAGAAACCTGAAGGCATCCTGGTTGAAAAAGGCTAGTATAGGTAATTGAAGGTCATGTTTTGGTACTACTTTTTCCCCTATAAAAGCAATCTCTAATGTTTTTAAACCTACTGAGAGAGATGCATAGAATGCAAATTCCCTGTTCCCTGGCTTTGGTGTTCCTTCAATACTTTGTGTCCCTTACCTGAAACTAGCATTCAAAATGCGATTTTGGACTTACCTGTAAAATTATTTTCTTGGAAGTACAATACAGGACACAGACCTCTTTAACCACCTCCCGTCTGGCCCATGTATATAAACGGCCAGACGGTGGCAGTGCAGAGTCGGGTGGCCATTTATAAACGGCCTCCCTCGCACCCTGCTTGAGCGTGCTCCCTGGAAGCGCGCAGCACCGCAATCCGGTGCCCGCTGTGTCCTCTGGACACAGTGGAACTGCGATCGTCGGACGGGACCTCTGGCCAATCAGTGATCACATGCAGAGTAGTAAGCAAGATGTCACTTCTGACATCATTGCTTCCTACATGTGAAATCTGTGAATGATCACAGCTTGTCACATGGTACAAGGCTATTCACAACAGCCTTGTACCATGTGACAAGCTGTGACCAATCACAGCTCACACGGTAGTTCTCAATGGCTGTAAGAATGCAGCTAGAGAGGAGAAATGATTGCTTTTACAGCCTTTATTGGTGTAAAAGCAATCAGTGTAAAAAAAAAAAAAAAAAAAAAAAAAAAATCTTCATCACCCCCCACAAGTAGCACAGTGTCACCATGCTGCTAGGGTGACAGTATGTAAAAAAAACAAAACAAAAGCATAATAATATAAAAAAAAAAAAAGTTTAAAAAATTATAATTTTTGGTTATAAACTGTAATTTGGGTTATTATTTTTTTTTTACTAAAAAGATAACGGAATAATTTTTGTCCAAGATTTATGATGAAATACTATTTATTTGCAAAATTCTATAAAAACACTTTTTTTCAAAATTTTTGGACATTTTCATTTACATAGCAAAAAAAATTAAAATCCCAGTGGTGAATAAATACCACCAAAATAAAGCTTGATCTGTCTCAAAAAAAACATGCTAAAAAATTCATATGGGTACAGTGTTGCATGACCGCGCAATTGTCATTCAAAGTGTGATAGCACTGAAAGCTGAAAATTGGCCTGGACAGGAAGGGGATAAAAGTGTCCAGACTGGAAGTGGTTAATCATAAACACTGGATTATACGCAGCCACCTTCAGGTGATTGGACACTGGCAAACATAAGTGTGTGAATCCCATGTAGCCCTTTCTACTCCCAGCAATTCCCGTTTTGTTTGCAAGCAATAAAAAGAAAACACCAGAACAAGTGGACGGGTGGCCTGTATTGTATTTCCAAGAAAAGGATTTTACAGGTTCTCCAAGGGGCCCCCTTACCTCTTAGAAGTGCATATCACTGTAATAACTAAAGCCAAGAAAGATCCATGCATTGTGTCCAATTACAGGCTGATTTCCTTACTAAATGTTGATGCCAAGTTATATGCCAAGATCGTGGCCAACAAACTTTTACCTCTCATCCATACTTAACGATGTAACCGTTCCTCAGGCACGTTCAGCTGGATCAAAACACATAACGGTTTGAGGTGGCAGGTATAGAAAAAGTAAACTTACAGCTTATGCAGATGATGTTCTCCTATTTTTACCACAAGCCTTATATTAGAATTCCCAATTTAATGGCAGATCTGGAGGAGTTTTCCAAGCTGTCCAACTTCAAAATGAATTATGCAAAGTCATAAACGCTTAACAGATTTTTCCCCTTTATCTGGAAACAGGATGCTTTCCCTTATTTTGGGATTGAATGTACGACGAACTCATCCACTTTGTACAAGTGGAATTTTGCAATGCATATGCAAAGACCTGCAAATCTTGGTATCTTCAATTGTTGTCTCGGTTTAGCAGAACTGCGGTTATAAAGATGAATATCCTGCTGCTCCACAGCTTTCTTTGCGGCAACAGGACACTAAGGATTAGTCTTGCTTACCTGTTCCTCCCCAAGATCAAGGGGGAGATAGGTCTACAGGACATTCAAAATTACTAATGGGCCACCCATTTGGCTAGATTGTGGAGTGGTCAGTCCACGTGACTTGTAAGGACTGGGTTGACTTGGAACAGGCCTTTTTGGAAGTTCCACTAGCATTTATGCTGTGGCTAAGGACTTGCCACTGTATGTCCATTCCTCCTGATCACCCACTTATTCAGGGGACATTACGCAACTTCAGATTGGCATGGTTGACCTGTGGGATCTCATCGATTCCAGGCCCTCTCACTCCACTGCAACCTATTGTGGACTTTGTGCCCAGGATGTCCAAAGGTTTTCTGGGGTCTGTGTGGCCAGTATTACCTCCTTTGGCACACCAATTTGCCATAGAGGGAAATTCCTGGATAAAACTGCACTGTTGGCTTACCTACCAGAGGCTCACATCCTCCAGTGATCTTATCTCCAAATACATAATTATTTACAATCCTCCATGTGTAAAAACAGTTATGTAGCAGATCTCTCACACCTTTCATGGACATCTGTTCCAGGCATTCCCCTCAGAGACACCTGGTCTCTAAACTCTAGCAGCGAGATGGATGACGAGGGCGGGAAAAGCGTAAACACGGTCATACATAAGAGCTGTCTCAATGTCAGTACTCGAGAAAATGCTTATAAGAACCACACAAGATGGTAAAAAGTACTCAAATTGCTTCATAGGATGTCACCGTCTACTTCGGTTCTTTCCTCCATATATGGTTATCTTGCTCATGTCTATCTCACTTTGGGTTGATAGTTCATGAGCATATAGCCCAGGTGACTGTAACTGCCCTGGACTTCACGCTGGAACAATATCTTGTGCACCTCAATCAACAATGATTACACACCGACACTAAATCTTTGAACGCTCACATGCAGCTAGAATGTGCAAACCAGCCCACAACCAGGATTGGTTCGTGAAACTGAATAAGACGGAGGAAATAATTCACACAGCCCACGACAGCATGTCCTCCTTTACAAAAATCTGGACATGTTGGATCCATTTTAAAACCACTACCCTGTATAAACAGGTCATATGCTCTAGTCTAACTGTGTTTAGCCACAAATTCGACTGGCTGGTCTGGAAAAACTGCTCTTTTGGTGGCAGTGATGCTGAATGGAAGGGTTTTGGAGATGGGGTAGGCAGCTGCCTATTTTTGACCTGAGCTGCCCTATGGATATTGCTGGGCTAGGGTGTTTTTGGTGCAGGGGGGCATCCTTTACTTTTATTCTCCCTTTTCATTTTGTATATGGTGTTGCCTTTTAGGGTAGTTCAAAACATAATATCCTACCAAGGGCCAGGAAACCTGTACTTATGTTGTTGTTTGTCATATGCTGATGTTCTCCATGGGTTGGGGTTATAGATTAGTAATCCTTTTTTATGTAACCTTGTTATTTTACCCAAAAAACCCAATGCATTTTTATGTAAAAACAATAAAAATCCAATTTTTTTAAATCATACAGTGCAGGACACAGGTTCCTTTAATCGCAGATACTGGAACATTCCCATGCAATACAGCTGAGGAGTAGGCAATTAAGCAAACAATGCCAACAGGCCCACACAAGAAAAGACAAGGAAACCTGGTCCCAAACTCAAAGAGTAGCTTGATACTACTTACAACAGAAGCTGGTGTCAGCAGAGACCTGAACATTTGGTAAAACTACAAAATGTGAGCCAAAGACCAGGTGGCAGCTTTGCAAATCTGAGAAACACACCTGGTGCTAAAAAGCCAAGGAGGCACTGACAGACCTAGTAGCGTGAGCCTTAAAGCATATGCTTTATTTATGACCTGCCTAATACACCTAGCAGTGGTGAAATGAGACGCAAGACCCCCCTGCAGGAGCCCTCAGGCAGAAGAAAGATTATCCAATTGACGGATAAAGGCAGTGGTCATGAGGTAAAACCTGCACAGCACACACCACATGCAAAAAGTGGAAGGACACCTGTTTAGGATATGTAGGGGCAGGACAAAGAAAGTAGGTCAATGTCCTGATTACAGCGGAATTAAAAACTACCTTGGGACGGATCGAGATCTGAGGTCTCAAAACAGTCTTCTCCCTATGAAGAACATGTAAAAGCTCTCTACAAAATTATGCCGCCAACTCCTAGACCCATCTCACTGATGTCAATGAACCTGAAGGGAGGCCTCTGTAGAACTGACAAGACCACAGTGTGGAACAAATGGGGGGTAGCTACAGTATGTGAGCTTCCCCTTGCACAAAAGATTTCAGCAAGTGGTCTCTGAAATATAGCCAGGGCTGAAATTTGACCCTTGTCAAGGCCAAACACTGATCCGGACCAGACTGAAGAAATGACAGGATGCATCCCATGGGTATCTTTCACCATGGAAAATAAGCCTACCGAGTGTGATGACAGACCTTCCATGAAGTCAACCTCCTAGCCTTCAAAAATGTAGAAATAATCAAGTCTGAAAGACCCCTTACAACCTGTGCTTCAACATCAAAGCCAGCAACTGAGAAGCATGATGGTA